AAAAAAATAATAGATGTTGTTTGCTTACAGATGAATTGTTGTTATCCACAATGTCCAGGTATAACTGCACTTTAAAGTTGGAAACATTTTCCTTCAACTGCTTCCGGTGTTGATTGTTTACCTCCAAGACACCTTTCTTGAAATTATAAAGAGTCTCCAGATTGTTGTGACATTCATTGCATATGAATTTGGAAAGAGGGTCTGTCCGATAGATCTGAAAAGGATGATGCATTATAAGAAATAGTATGGATGGATGGGATGGATGAAAACAGCAGCAGCAGCAGCTAAACAATCATTTAAGGTTAGGAATTTGAGTGGGTGAGTATTATTTACCACGAGCGGTAGGCAGTCCTTGATCACGTTCAGAATCTGAAGCCCTTCGGAGTTCTTCTGGAAAACGCTGAGCATAATTCCGCTCTTTTTATCGCACAAGCGACACAGGTTCTCTGTGGCCGACGACTCCATAACTTCTTTTCTTTCTTGCACGGATTATGTCCACTAACTTATCACTAAACACTTCACGAACACCTCACTAAGATGGCAACAACATAACACCAGACGTACAGATCTTCGCGAAATGCGAGGGATTTTCCTTTAAAACATCATGTAAACATCGTCGAAACGCGCTAACTCTGCGTAAAAACGGCCATTTTTATTATGTGCGCGTTCACTTCTGAGGTGGTTCCTGCAGAGGGCTCTCAGATCTTTTTCCCTCTCACTCTTTCTCACCCAGTCCTCCTCCGAAGACTTGAAGTAGCGTAATGAGGAGGTACCCAATACACATAGAGCAATAAACCTTCGATTCTATGTACGCCTATGTTTGTACGAAAGCACGCACATCATATTATGGAACCCCGATGTCCTGATGTAGATGTAGGGTGATTCCTTTGCACAGGAAACGGTCACCACCTAAACACAGACAGCAGCACACTTTAGAAACGACTCCTTTCTCGACGATGTGTACTTGACGTACTATTGATTTTTAGATCCCAATGGGTATATCTAAAGGTCATCAGCACGCACACACACACGAGACCCAACCACTTTGTCGCCCCTGGATACGTGATCCCTTTGCTCACACTCACGTTCGCACAACGCATCTCCCAGGATCTTGCTGCTGCTACTGCTCTCTCCACTCCTCTCCTCCTTTCCACCCGAAGGGAACGAAAGAAAATTATTACGAATCTGGTATTAAAGTGGATCAGGGTGGAAGATGTGCTGTGTGTAGGTCGTGCTATATGCTGGCTGCCGTTGCAAACTTGGACTAGAACTAATCGAAGTCCACTGTCTGTGCCTCTGTACTGGACAGCTTATCGCGGGAAGACCCAACCGGTTACAAACCACGGAACTGTTCCGTTCCAGCTCCTCTCAATTGCACTGCCATCTTTGGAAACTCGGTTTCGATCACCTAAATGCGTTCGCATTCAGATTTTCCTGCAATAATCAAAATATTCATTCCCTCATCCCAACAACACCACCATCTGAACACCACCATTAATTGTAAACTTTCTTCGCTAAAAATAGATGCTGTCTCCAAGGACATGTTGTCAGGACAATTCAAATAAACGATTAGAGCTTAGCTACAGTAACCTTGGCAATGCTTCCAAATGTATCTTTCTGGATCCATCAGCTTTCATATCCAGCCCTCATCGATAATCTTTACGATCAAAAATTACAACCTCGTCATAAAAGCAGGTACTTTTACCGATCAATAATTTCCAGGAAAAACTTAGGTACCTAAATAATAATTACAGCATGAAAATCATAATCAAAAATAAAAATGTTGGTTACCTTGATCTTAATGTTTATTAAAATTTTCGATAAAAGCGTTTTAGGTACTTAATCTCAATCAATCCACATAAATTGCATCAAAATAATCATCGATTGATTGTATTTAATTATATGTATTCGTAATTCTAATCACCTAGGTTTTAATTTGATCTGAAATGAGTTCATTAATATTACGTTTGATGAAGATGGGAGTTATTTCACCGGACATAAGATGGCCGTCTGGGAATGCGTTCTTGGAATTTACCACCACTCGATGCGAAAAAATATTTCAGACGTTATCCAACAAACGGATTCAAGCTTATGACAATTCGATTACTCGATATTTCTGACAAACAGTAAACAGTCTTAGGTGGTGTTATTATTGTCTTTGAAGACCATCGCGTTAGTTCGCAATCCATGTACGCTTTCAGGTGTTCATAATTAACGTTCATATTTCGAATACTTTGATGAGTTTCTAACATTCCCTAGAATAGTTAGTGTACATGTTACATGCGTGATTACGTTGTGCATATGAAATGAGTCATCGAGCAAACAAAGAATTTCGTCGCACGCAGGAATTCCGTTGTGTATGCGACCAACTATACGTGTTTATGTTTGAGTTAAACTTGGGAATTTTTAATCTTTTCGTGTGAATTAATTAGTCAATAGTGTTTAAAAGAATAAAATTCAATAGCTTTTTTCCATTCAGAATGTTATTGTTTAATAACTGATTGACCCTGACAGCAAACGCTTTAATTGGGATGATTTAATCATCGCGTATGGAATAATTGCTATTTTTACATTCTAGATTTAAGGTCAAACATTAATTAATTTAAACGAAGAAAATATCTTATGTTAAGTTTTTAATTTTAAGGATCACAGGCCACACAAACGATACAAGATTTTTCTTCTTTTTTTTTTGTTGCTTCAGAATCGGAGATACAATAATAACATAATATTTGCGCGCTACAAACTAGGGTCGTCGAGAAGTGGGAAAACGAATTCAGAACCCTTCTCAGATTTTTCCGGATTGGATGGAATACTTGATCTTGCCGTCGCTGTCGATGGAACTGGAGCTGGAGCTGAAGGCTGCTTTCGGTCCGGCGGCGCTCGCTCCTACCTTGACGCCGGTTCCTTCGGCCTCGCCGAAACGCGAAAACAATTGAGGTCTGCAATTATTAAGTTTAATTATTATTATTTTTTTAGTAAATTAGAAAGAAAAGCATCAGCGCTTTTTCCTGGAGGTGATTTAATCTCGACCTTCGATCGCGAAGTGTGATCTCAGGTTTCTTACATCATTTCGGAATAACAAAAAGTGACGAAGCAAAATAAACACGAGAGATTACCCATCGTTATTGTTGTAGCTGTTTCCATAGGAACCTCCTGGGTGTCTTCCAGAGCCGCCGCCGCCTCCTCCTCCGGTGCCTGAGCTGCTAGATGAGCTGGAGCTGGCGAAGGATACGCTTCCGCCTGCATAGCCGCCTCCGTTTCCGGAAGCGTTCGATTCGACGTTGCTGTACGCGCGATTCGGTGGATTATCTGAAGAGGATTTCGATCAAGGTTGTTTTTTTTTTATTTCTTCTTAATTAGGTTCACTCACCTCCGAAGTAAATGGGATCTCCAGCTCCAGCCCCGGCGCTCGAAGAACTCGAGGCGCTGGACGAGCTGTACGATCCACCGCCGCGCTTGCTCCTCATGACGAAGGGATGCAAATCCAAAGCCCTTCTGGTCCTCAAGTAGACGAAATCCGATTGGTGCCCGAACTTGTCGATCACGTAGTAGGACCTCGGGACGTACTGTCCGGCAACTGAAATTATTCAAATTTATTACCAATCACGTATGACGAAACCCATAAACCACAAAACGTTTATTTATTTTTCGAAAACACAAACCTAATACGACCTAAATGACTTTTATAGAAAAAAAAATGTAATTCATGCTCAAACGCCTTTTCGTTTAACGACGCCAATTAGCACACAAGAGCTGTTTACAATCTGAGCTATTACGGAAATACCCAACCATTATGCGATCATCTCGTTTCAATTACAACGAATCAACGTAATTGATTGAATAATCCACTTACTTGCTAATGCTGATGCTAACAGAGTGGAGACGACGATGGCTTGCATCAACAGAACAGTTTGCTGGTATCCCATCTTCTTTACCAACGAAAAAAAAAACAAACCAACAATTCGAATTACTATTTGTTTTTTCTCAAGTGTTGTCCGCTCAAAAGACGAACGCAAAGTGATGGTCTGCGAGCAGCAACAAACACCTTTATATCAACTTTCGGTGCAGCACCTCTTTTTAACTGTTCCATCCATTGTTCCGCGTGCATTGATCACTTTGCGGTTTCCAATAAATAATTCCAATTAATACCTCAGGAATAAATAAATAAATAAATGAAGCGAGCAAAAGGAATCCTCGCTAATTACTATTTTTCTGGGTTTATGCATACATTATTATAATCCGTATCGATAATACAAGAGGCGTGCATTGTTAATAATCAATTATGATCGATCGGTTCGTTTAATATACAAAAACAAAGCGAGAAATTAAAAAAAAAAGAAGAAAAAGCATTTGCACATCCAAGAATTGCAAGCGATTCTCGGAGCTGAAATTCGGGTATCTTCCGAGAACGCATTCAATCTTGATCAGCAAAATATTCCTTGTTTGCTCCTCTCTCATTCAGATTTCGATTACATCTCTTAATTAGCTTAATTATATTTATTGTTTTCAGATTCATTGGAACGTTTCTTGTTTGTGTTCGACTTGTGATCAAATGGGAACGCAGGAAACGCCGAAGATCCTCCAGAAGTCTGCTGTTGACCCCGACTTTGAGCAACGTGGACACTCTTCAGGAATGCCATTAACACCGAGGGACGACGATTTGCATAGGAAAGTAGAGTAAAAAGGCAAAAAACCAACACAAACGCGAAAAAAATCTGCGAATGTACGAACGCGGAATTTCAATTGCCGCAGTTATAACATTTCGTTGCACAATCGAATTTGGGACAACGTGTATTAAAATCAAACAATCGTTGTTTTGGTTCAAATAATCAAACAGATTAGGTAATTTAAAAAATGTAATTCTAATTACTTATGTAATTGAGTTATAAATGAATATGAATGTAATCAATATCAAAACAATACGTACAGTGGAACCTCGCTTAACGAGTGACGATGAGAACAGAAGTCCCGGATTACGCGTCTTCTACATCATTTTTCAAACTTGTGTACACATATTATGTCTATTTCTACTTCATTTTTGACAGCTTTTTGGTAGTTAAGCAACGTTTAAATAAATTATTTAATGAAAGATTTAACTATTTTTTTTAATTTACCGTTAATAACAATGAATAAAAAATAACATTACTTAAAAAAAACGTATAGTTAGGATAGTTATAATATTAAAGAATTAAACTTTAGTTCAAGCTGGAATATTTTGCGAATTTGCAACATTTTTTTTGACAATTTAATAATGCAAGCATTAACGAATCGAATGTTAAATGTATCTCTGGGAATCGCGCGCGATTTCAAAGAAAATCCGGTCGTGTGTGTACGAGAGAGTAAGAGAGAGAAACATGATTGCATAATTAATTTTATTCGCATTTAATATCTCGTTCGCTTATGAAGTTCAGAGTGTGAACATAATTGGGGGAAAAACGCAAATTATTATTACTTTTTTTTATACTTCTTGCACTCGAAAGAAGTATCCTGTTTCAACGATTAAGTGCTTATTATCTTTTGTTTTGTATTTATTTGCAATTGCACAACTTAACTAACTTTAGTATAATAAATTAGAATTTTGCGCTGTTTAAATAGAAACAGTTATTTAACAACTTTAATCATTGAAATATTGTTCTAATAGATTATATATTATAATAAGATACAATAGTAACGTTTGTGATTTACTATATTTTTGTTTGAACTTGAATGTTCTTTAAGAAATTGGTTGTTCCTAAAACCTAGAAAGAAATGATAACTTTCTAATGTGTAATAATAATAATATCAGGTTTATTATAAGGAAGTTGTGGATTGTGATAAATTCAATAAACTAATGTAAGTTTAAAATATGGTATATTTAAGGTAATTAGGATAATTGTTTAATAATTTCAATATTTTTGAATATTTAAAATTGGAAGTATGCAACCAAACTAACTTGATAATATCAACAGTACGAACAAAACAAAGCGTTTTTGTGATGGAATCAAATGCATAATTAGTGTAAGTATGTATGTTATGTTAACTAGATACATTCTGATGGTAATTAGCAATTACCATATAATCAATAACTGAAAGGAAACGAGCAATAACAATTGGTTAATTGGATTACAGGTGCAGAAGAGCTGTAGTAGTAGTAATAAGGGGGAAAAAAGTAGTAATAGGGTATCAAAAAGAAAGAAAAAGGATAAGCCCAGGATCCAATTCGGAAAGAGTAGTGAATGTAATTGGGGCGGAACGGTATATTTGAATGGCAACAGCGCGGAGCCAATCGCAAGCAAGTAGTAGTAGAAAGGTTGTGATTTGTACTCGACGGATTTGTTTACGTGTAACTTCGTGGCACACAGGCCCAGAGGCACAACAGCCGAGTGGACAACGCATCGCCCCGTGTACCAGGTTTTCCAGTTGCCAATTGGAATTCGGTCTGTGAAGACAGACGGTGTGCGCCTTCCCGTTCACCCCTTTTTATTTTGTTTCCTTCCCCCTTGTTTTTGTTTCTGTTTTGTTTATACAACATCCAACGCATCAGTTGGAACCGTCCGATAAGATTCTCTTAAGTAAATACAGTATTTAGAGGCTGAAAACATGGTGAAACCGATCAGGAAAACCTCCACCAAGAACCCGCCGAT